CACTAGCCGCCGCCCCCCGCCGTCAAGGCTCGCCGGCAGGACACTTTCCATCACAGGAACACGCTTTGCTGGCGGCGAAAATAATCCCACCAGACTCCTTTGCCACTCCAACAGAGGGATGATCTTGTCCTTTTTTCTTTTCAAGCTATAAAAACTCAATCTTCTCTCGAATTATTATTATTTTTGGACGCCCTCGGCTCGAGTTCAGGGCGTTCCGAGCTGAATAAGGGCGTCAAATGACGGCAAGACGCCCCCCTGGCGGAAACGCTGGTGCAAACCACATTGTGAATGAAGTATAACACATATAATTGCTTTGTGAGGAAATGTCAATATCCTGCTTTACAGTTGCCAGAAAAGTGAATTTTGTCCCATAACTAAATAAGGAATATAATCAGGGGTGCATAGGGTTGGGAACCGAAACTCGGTTCCAGATGAGAACCGATAAGAAAATGCCGGGTACCGGGTACCCATACAAAATACACAATTTCGGTTCTGCTTAACGGTTCCTAAACGCGGTATACCCTGTATTCCAGCGGGTCCGTCTGCACCGCGGTGCTGCGGTGACCCGGTGGAATACAGGGCGGACCTGGAGAATCACAGAACGGCCGGTCGTCAGCGGGCCGTTGACGGCCGGCTCGGTACGCTGACGGCCGGCACCGCCCTTCATTTTTTTAAACGGCATCATATAAATTGCGCTGACAGGCGACAGAGGTCCACAGTTGCCCCGCAGCGATGCTCCCCCGCCCTCCCGTAGACATTTCACGAGCTCAGTCACTTCATAACACCAAAGATAGGTCGCGGTAAACACTCTGAAGTGAGGCTCCACTACACTAAAAAATAAAAATAAAAGGCAAAGTGTAATGCCTGTTAATAGCTTGCCACAGGCATAGCTCAGTTAAAATAAAGCACAGCTATTGTGCAATACATTTGTATTGCATGTATATTTTTTAGTAACAATTTCAGTTAAAGCTTTTAAGAATAAATATATTTTTGTTATCTAAACGTTTGACCTCTTTATTTTACAATTTTGGAATCGAAACGGGGAATCGATAAGAACCGGAATCGATAAGCAGAACCGGAATCGAAATCGGAATCGATAAATTTCAAACGATACCCATCCCTAGGGGTGCACATAACTTTTTTGCCCTGGTTCTCAAAGGAGCACCTGGAGATGTTGCTTGGTGCTCATCCTTAAAATGAAATAAATAAACCGGTCTTTATTTGTCAGACACACGGCACAGAACACACAGAGGTGCACAGAACACACAGAGGTGAACACAGAACACACATGCAGAGGTGAACACAGAACACACATGCAGAGGCGAACACAGAACACACATGCAGAGGTGAACACAGAACACACATGCAGAGGTGAACACAGAACACACATGCAGAGGTGAACACAAGACAACATTAGCACGACCAGTAATCCTACAAGCTGTCATCACTCCCTCCTGACTGTTCTCCTCACTGTCTTCCTCTCTGTCAGACATGGTAGCTGATGATGTAGGCCTACTTCTTTCTCTCTGGTTGAGTCTGTGATTAGCTGCTTGCATCCACAAGTCAACAGCTGGGTTTGGGTTGAAAGTCCAGCTTTAAAAGGATATGTTTGGTTACTGTCCTATAGTATACATTGGAATGATTTCAAACCTGTTTATCCCAATAATTATAAAGGAGTGCCTTGAAAATATGTGTTTACATAAATTGTGACCAAACCGTTTGAACTTAGACTAAAGTGAACTATCTAAACACTCAGAGTCCTTTACCTCACTGAGCTGTAGTTATCAGTCTCTCAGTCTGACTGGAGAGGACTCTCCCTCCACATCATTGTAGAAACATCTTCTTCTTATATCCGCAGCTAGCACCAGATTCTAATAACAACAGTACCGGTGCACCCTCCCTCTCTCCCACGCTCACTCGCATTTTGGCTGTGAGCTGCGGGCGCCAGACAAGCCAACATCCCCCATTTTCATCACTTACAGCGCCCATTGTACAGGGCAAATGAAACGTGTAACCGGGGTGAAAAGGGTGTTACATTTACTTAATTGTGAATATTGTTACATCAAGGCCAAAAATTAGGATGAGCACCAACGGTCAAAAATGTTTTTTTCCCTCCCAGAACTACCAGCGCAGCGACTCCCCAGATCTGGCGCCCTAGGCGAAAATCAACGCCAGTGCGACGGGCCGGCCCTGAGTTCATATGCAACTCGCAAATATCTTTCTCTCTCTCTTCTCTCTCTTCTCTTCTCTCTTTTCTCTTCTTCCTTCTCTCTCCCTCTCTCTCAATGTTGGTACGCAAATGCGTTTTTTTTCAAATGACCCGGTGCTCTTTTTTTGGCCGAGTTATGTGCAGCCCTGAATAGAACACATTATTGACGCAGTGCACAGGCCAATGATGCAGGTTTGACAGTTCAGGATAATGTTGTGATGCTGCAGCAACCTTTTGGACACAATCCCACAATAACTATCAGTTTCAGGATGCAACTATGGTAAGAAAACACCAGAAGATGAAGTTGAATCAGGCTTTCAACAGAAGTCTTAAGGGCTTCTGTGTGGTTACAAATATTCTCACCTGCCAAAACAAACCAGTAGGGGCTCCAAAGAAAATCATACCAAACCCATTTGTTGTGAATAGGGCCAAGAACGACACACCAAAGTAATTAAACATGCCTTTGTGAGACATGTCGATGTTATGATTGCCTTTTTATATATTTAACATGAACGGGCCATTGTTTGAAATGGCAAACGTTTGGAATGTCAGAAGATTGAGATGGCTTTGCAATCAAGACGTCAATTGGATCTTTGACATCATTTAAATGAATAAAAACAGCTAAGTGTACAAACCCAAAATGTAAGAGAGGACTAGAACAGACAAAGGAAGTGAATGTTCTGCTTACAACCAAAGATGTAAGAATCACAAAGTGAACAACACAGGGCACATAAGTCCTCTGAGGACGCTGTTTAGAGCCAAACAGGGGGCCGATTAACATCTAGCCTGAAGTCCTGACATCATATATGACACAGCAGTTGTATATAATAAATCAAACCCAGGCCTATGGGATGCTGACTGGGGCTTTGTGTTGGTCTATTCAGTCAGGATTCAGAGACCTGTCTCTGGTTGCCTGAGGTGACTGGAGGACCGTCACCAGGTGTGTATGGGTAATGAAATCAGTCCCTTCGGGGTAAGGGTGATAGAACAACAACAACACACAGGAGTGGTTGTATCAGTTCACTCCCGCCTTTATAGCCTTCATTCCTGACCTGCCTCAGAGATTCTGGGTCAGTAGTGGCTTTTTAAAGACTTGATAAAGTCCTCCAAAGAGTTTGGTGCTGCTAAATAGGCCTGTGATGGTGCCTGACACATTTAAAGAAGCTCCGTCATCTTCATTACTGCTTTAAGATGTGATACACTTGAATCTGTTTAAACACGGTATTGTAATAGCGAGCTACACATGAAAACATATCAGGTGGTATGTAAGATACCAAGAGTTGAAAACCCCCTCAAAAACACTATTTCTCAAATGAGACATGTGTATATTAACATGCTCTCGACACTCTTACTGTCAGCCTAGAGGCAGCATTGAGAAATGCAATGAATATAGCACTGATTGGTGGAACAGTAGAGACAATACAGATGCAGTGTGGCTGCTGATGACAATAAACATGAAATAAACATGCAAGGATTCAACAATATGGCTTAGCCAAGCCTTCATAAATAAAACAAAAAATTACTGTGAAATTAGTAAAGGTATACTCAAAAATCCAAAACATAAGAAATACTGATACCTGCAGGATAAAAGTACAGCTGTTGGCACACAAAGACAGTAGGCAGCATTATTTCATGAGTCATCACATTTTTCTATTGTAGTCTATGACTAGCATTAGGCCTTCGAGTAATACAATCTGCAGTGAAAAATTAAGCCAATGTTAACTAAATGTTAGTCTAGTAGAGTAGAGTAGATCTGTACCATGGGGTGGAAACGCAACATTAGAGCTGAGAACTTGTGATCAGATGAACAACACTCTTAGGTTATCACTAAGGCTATCGCTCACCATGACATTTATCAGTTACATGTAATTGATTGAAGAGTATGGGGGGCCTCTTCTCTTTGCCGAGTCCCCATAATCCCTACCAACGCCCCTGCTACATTAAGTCAATCACTTTATGCAACGGTGTGCTCGAGATCAAATTTGTAAGCCTTTATGTAAACCTGCAGAGCTGTGACAGCATTACAACAACATGCAGTAGATAATCAGCCGGCCGTCAGGGTTTGAAGGCTGACAAGAGCACAGCTCACTGCAGGATGACAAAGTCAAATGCAATGAGGGCAGGCAAGTGTCGTGATTGAAATTCTCCCAGAACAAAACCTTGTTTGTGTGATTATTGTTCACCAGGCTCGCGATGAGGCAAAAATCCATTCCACATGATGCATTCATTGTTTGCAGCCAAACACGCAACAGGCCTCACAGCAGTCACAGCTACTGTACAATGGCCCTGGCCAAAAACAACTGAGAGCCTGCTGCTACATTAGGAGAGTCCAGCACAACTAGGTGCAATATACTCTTTAGTTATGTTTGTATTTGGGCTATATCATTACACATTAAGAAAGCTACTTTTTATTTTGAAGGGTTATAATGTTCACTCAGTATTGGGTTTTAGACTCAAGTAATTATAGGAATTCAATATAGCAGAAGATCAGAAAATACCAATAAAATCCACATATTGACAAACAATGACAACAGCCACAAAGTAAACCCCCCAGAAGAACTTAAAGAATGTTGTTGGAAAGATTTCGTCAGAGTCAAATAATTGCAGTTTGAGTAACCTTTCAACAGGTGACGAAGCAATCAAATCAAACTGCGGTTTAAAGGAGAAGGCGCTGCAAATACATGCTGCTAACCAGTAACTAAGGCCACACAATGACAACAAAACACCTGTGCGAAAAAAGAATCAAAGTCCTGAGGAGTTAACACAGTATTTGGACTGTTTTGTCACTCACCTCTATCCATGTCTGCGCCTCCTGAAACGCGGAGTCTGCGGCCGCCTCGCTGACAGGGGGATGCTGATGAGACTGTCCTATGTCTGCAACCGGACTTGCCATTGGCGAGGAAGCTCTTCTCTCAAAGTATACAGTAAAGCCTTTACAAATGTGTGAAGGCAGCTCAATGCAGCGTTATTCCACCAGACTTTTGGGTTGGTCAGCCGGTTGTCCTCAGTCTGTTGTAGGTGTTGCAGCAGCAGCAGCACCGGCGAGGCGAGCGGACCAGTTGCTGCTCTCCAGTGTCGCTCCTGGTGGAGTCTTTGAGGAGAAAACCAGCGTCAAGTCACACACAGTCAATCACAGGGCTTCCGGTGTGACCCTTCAAAATAAATGTTTTAGCCGAGGAAAGCACAAATAATGTATTTCAATAAATGCAACAAGATAATTCCTTGTTAGACAAACATTGTGTGGCTTCTGCCTAATGCAAATAATATTTTGAGATCTTATTTCCTGTCAAACTACTTCTGTTTTGATAGCTATAAGATATGTTCCATGCTACTCTGTCCCGTTCAAACAGAATACAGGAAAGTCCTTACTCTTAAATGGACTCAAATTGCTATTAAACAACCTTGGTAAATGTAGTTTGTAAGGAGCAATTGTTCAGTTTGTGGTTTGTCAGGTACACATGTATTGCCGTAAAGCTAGCTAAAAACGGTTTCAAAACAAAAGCTTTAGTCGAGGAACATACTGAACAATTGTCGGCCTCCAAATACAACATAAATACTTTTTATTAAACCAAGCAATAACAATATATATCTTTGTTTATCTCGCTTCTGCCCATTTAAAATATCAAATTTCCTGTCAAACTACTCCTGTTTTCAAAAGCTATAAGATATTCCTGTTAAAGCTAAAAACGTGAAATGTCTTACTCTGAAATGGATTCCAATTGGTATTGAGCAACCATGGCAACTGTACTTTTTCCGAATTAAGTTGCTTTTGTGGTTTGTCACGTTCACATGTGTTAACGTAATGTTAGCTAACAACTGAGGTAAGCTAGCTAGATAGTTAGTTTCTTGATTAGCTTAACCAATGTTACAGTTTAGCTCCTGTACATGAACTCGGATAATGTGCCATAGAGAATGTTAAGTTAAACTAGCCTTGACAACGTACCAAACTAGCCTGGTAAGCAAAAATTGAGGGCGGTGGAAATTCGAAAACCCTGATATAGACTATAGATGTATAATGTAAACATGACAAGGTAATGTTAACTTCCGTTTTTATTCTCCCAGACAACACTTAACGTACCGCTGTTTTGAAGACATTTCAAGGTTCCTCAGATTCATTAATCCAAAGGAGGGAAAATACTATTTAAAACGCTTCACAATTTAAACTGTGTTTCCAGTTGCACGTCTCGAGCTCAACTCCAACGGCAACCGGAAATGAATCTTCTTCTGTCTTTATTTTGGCGGTAACGTAACATCAATGGTAGGGATTGACACATCCAAAATGCTTTTTTTGCAGAACAAAACAGCAAGAAACGTGATTAATTGTATGTTGTATATGTATTGAAAATGTGTAGCCTTATATTTATGTTATTATTGGACAGATTTGAAGGGAATTTATTTGGAAATGTCTCTAAATGGGGGTGTTTCTCAAAGTGTTCCTGTCATGTTTTTTTACTATTCAGAACTAATGTCATTTAACAGCGTTAAATGCTGATGCCTTTCTGATTGTGATATAGCTTCCTACCCATTTTTTAAAAACCTTTATTAATCAAGAATAATTTGCAATAACATAACATTGAATTATGAAATACATTTCCATGTATGTATTGTGTTTGCTTAACCAGATCAAATTACCAACAATTACACATTTTTTTCCTTTTAGCTTTCAACCACCCATTGGTCTCATGGATGTATTATTATTTTTGAAATCCACCTGCCATTAGTTAAGGCTCTTATGTTGGTAACAAAGCCGCGTTGCTTCCGGTATAGTGTAGTTGTTTCTCGCTGACTTGACGCAGCTGGACTGACAGGACTACTTGCACGCCGCAGTATGATCCGCTCCAATGGACAAAAATACACAGAGCAGTGCAGCCAATGAGGGCAGCAACACACAGGGGATCTCACACACACTTTCACTATGTGGGGCAACCGAGAGAGCAGAGAGTTCACTGATTTAGTGCAAAAACACTCAAAACAAAGAGCCAACTCTGATCTCTCCAACTAAATTATACTGTTTTAGAAAATGTCTGTATGTTTGCTCTCATAGCACTTGCATCAGTTTGATTCTGGAACATAGCTAAAAGAAAAACATCGATATAACTGTAATTGAACTAACTACCTTTTGCAATTTACAGTCAGGTAAACTAAATTCACCTCTACCAGGTTTATACCAAAAGATGAATAAGCCTAATGACATATAATACGGAAGGCCCTAATATAAACTTTGTGTTGAATTAGAAAATCCATAATGTGTTTTAATTATCAATTCAAATACAAATTCCTCAGTCAGCTAGATTTTTAGTTTTTGTTGCCAGGGCCATTGTTAAGGCTATTTTGGGAGATAAAAGGGATCCTCTATTTGACAAAAAACAAGAACAAACCCGCATAAACATTGTTTGATTAGCTTTCATCTTGTATTTAAATGTGATATCTCTTCTGCTTCCCACCTGTAAACATAATCATTTGTGTTAACTGGAGTGTACAACCATGTTAATGTATAATAACTTTGGATTAAAACCAACTCTTTTGCTCCAGAAGTATTTTAATGACATTTCTAACTCAGTCTTAAAGTGTAATATAAGCCCACTTTAGTCAATGAAATGATTTAGAAAAACAAACTACACAATTATTATTATTATATCTCAAAATGAAAAGTCACATGCATGCTTTCACCATTTTAAAACACTATAGAAAAAAGCAAAGCTATTAGTTTAGGAAACTGTATCCTAGGTGAAATGACAATCACATAGACTGTTCTGGAAACTCTAGCATGCCAAAAGTTGTCCACAGGGTCTGTGTAAATATCTCTGCTGACCTCTGGTGGAATAATGCAGCAGTACTGATCACAGGGAGGAGGAGCTTCAGGCAGTGTGTGTGTGTATGTGTGTGTTCAGTTGTAAAGAAGGTGTGTGTTCAGTCGCCACTCCTCTTTCCTCAGGCTTTGATTTCCTGGATACCAGAAACAGTTCAGTGTTTTTCTTTCATTCAGTCTTTTTCCCAAAATATCTGTCTTTAAAGGAAATCATGGTTTGTTTTTCAGTCAGCCGGCTGTTTCCTTTATGCTGCTCACCCTCTTGACTTCCAGGAGTCACACACCATCTGTGTTTGACAGGACACACTCTTAAATCTGGACGGGCAAAGGGCAGCTTGGCAAGTAGTACACCTCTTCTGCACATATTATTACTCATTAATTACTTCTGTTTAAATAATTCCTTCAATATTCATCTAAAAAGGTTACATTTCTTTGTTTTAAAAAGTGACTAGAACTACAGTGTTCACTTTCTTATAATGTTAAAGAGCTCTTATTCAGTCATTTTTTATTTCTAGAAGAGGATGCTCATAAATCAAGGACATTACTTCCTGATTAATAAACAGCAGATATATTCAGTGAAAGCATTTCCTGCAGTATTTGATAAGAAGTTAAATATGTCTCTCTCTTATGAATTCTACTGTATGTATTACCATGAAGTGTCTGCAGAGGGCGCCAGAGGTCTGTTTTTTAGATTTTATTTTATTGTTTACTTGTTATCAATAACCAATAATTATAACAAAAAAATAATATTCTATTTAACGCCAATTTTTGAAAGCTTTTTGCCCATGGCACATCCTCACATCAAATATTTTGGATTATTACAGAAAATAAATATCGTGGCAAACAAACATTTCTGATACTGCAAAATAAGACTGAAAAGGACACAAAACAACTACAAATGACTCAAGATTAGAACAAAGATTCAACACGATTAATAGACATAACAAGACTATAAAGGGAAGTTAAACAACAAAACAACCAACTGGGTGCAAAACGACTTGAAACATCACAAATACAAATAATTGACTACAGGCGATCTAAAACAACAAAGTAGAAACGTTAAATAGATTCAAAGTGACCCCAAAGTAAATGGGCACATTTCTACAACATCTGTAATTCTTTCAAACTGAAGTAGAAAAACATGTGAACTTTGAACTCTTGATCTGGTCATTTGCACAAATAACAAGAGGTGTGATTGAACCAAAAACGTTAAGCCAAAAATAGCAATTCCAACAACTATGTGATACCAAATGTGACACTTCAGTCTCATTCCTGAGTTGATTTCCGCTGATTTCCTTTCAGGTTTCAGCGCTTCCTTCTGTCTCCTCCTGAGTTTTAAAAATGTGGCTCCTGGTTGTTTCCGCCCCGCTGCTTCCCGCCATCTTCATGGTGTCCAGGCGTTATCGAGTCAAAGTTTCCGCGCTGTGCCACCGAGCCCTTGCCTGGGCTCTGAGGCTGCTGAGAGGGAGAGTGTGTGTGAAGAGCACCCACGCCTTCGTCTTCTCCAGATGCACCCATGGCAAAGCTGACAGCGTCCTGCAGACCTATGACCTCTACGCCGACACACACCCCTCACTCTGCATCAGCCCACACATGAGTCAGTATGCTAAAGAATTACTTTATGTGGCAGTGCATTAAGCTACAAGGCAATGTCTTTATAAATCAGTGCAGACAATTTATATTAAAATCGAACATATCATTACTTTAAAAACACTTTTCAAAGTCTCTGTAACTTTCAAAATGAACTGTAACACTTGGAATTATGTGATTTACTTGATTGTCTCACCTTATTTGTTTTCTATATCACCCTACATCTATTTCAATATCTATGTCATACGTTTTTCAAATTATATTTACAATACACCACTCAAATGGATAGTTCAGATGTTTTTAAATGTGGTTGTGTGAAGTCTTATCCATAATCAATGCATTCTCTTAAGTAGATGACAGTAAGCATGGACTAGTTTCGAGAAGCAGACAGATGCTATGGCACAGGAGCAAAACAAGTACAGCTGTGGAAAGGGGTAACATACTTAGGACACCTAAAAGAAGCCCCACCCAAATCAATATCAGTTTGTTTGGCTTTAGCAATCAGAATCAGAAACGGGTTTATTACCAGGTTGACACGTACGAGGAATTTGACTTGGTGTCGTGGTGCATACATAAAAGTAAAAAAAAACGTAAAGTAAATATACGTGTTTTTGACCACACGTATTTTATATTTGATGTATTATTATTGTATCTATGCAGTGAGTGTCTCTAACGGGGACCTGTGGCTCCTGAAGTCATCGTGAAGCCTGGTCCTTGTCCTCTCTGTCAGGTGGGGTGTTGGAGGAGGTGGTGCAGAGGGTCCGCCCCCCCCTGGTGTTGGAGCTGGGGATGCACTGTGGGTACAGCTCTGTGCGCCTGCTGCGTCTGCTGCCCCCTGCTGGCAGACTGTTCACAGTGGAGCTGGACCCCCTCACTGCAGAGCTGGGGGAGGAAATCATTCTGGTGTCTGGCTTCAAACACTCCCAGGTACACACAGGGTGGATCAGCTTCTTCAATTTACCACATTCAAATACAAGTGCTTTGGAAACACAGATGATGACGTTTTTCTCGTTTAAGCCTCACACTCAGCAACTACTGAAATACTGTTAAAAATAGGTTTTATTTTAGAAACAAGTCTTGCTTTTGCTTGAATGTATTCTGTAATCATGTCTGTGCTGGACTTTTCCAATGATGCATGCATGCATCTTCACAATGCCTACAAACCCTGCATACGCTCTTCCATGATGCACTGAGATGTATTAGTCATATCAAAGCCCTAAATGCTCTCTGTATTATCTGCCTGGATGGTCTGCCTTGTGACCCGGATTTAATCATTGGACTATTCTTATATATAATACTATCCTTGGTCTGCATCCCAGGACTTACTCTACTCCTTCCAAGTCCATACTGAAGGGGGAAAAAAGGGCATTTCAGTATACTGCGCCCTCTCTTTCGAATCCGTTGCAAATCATATACATATTCAAAAGCTGGTCCTATTCAAGGGACACACTGAAAGGGATTCTTAATCATTTGGAAGCAGGTACAGTTGCAGGTCTTTCATATCTAATTTGTTTTTCGTTTAGATTTGTCTTTTTGTGTGTTTTATTTGTTTTGCTGTCTGTCTTGAAAAGAGTGTTTTGAATCTCAATGAGTCTTCTACTCCTGATCAAATAAAGGATATAATAAAAATAATAAATAAAGAGGTCAAGTGGCAAACTTGCTACTCTTAACAGAACATTGAAAGGAGAGATGCTAACCCATCTTCCTGTTCTCTTTGCAGTTCCAGGTGTTGACTTCTAGCTCAGCTGAGGCCATACACACGTTGCCTTCTTTGCTCACTGATCTTGATGAAGGGAGCAGTGAGGGCTTCAGTCTGGTGCTGATGGACCACGACCCCCAGCAGTACCTCCCTGACCTGCTGTCTCTGGAGAGAGAGGAGCTCCTCCGCCCCTCCGGCTGCTCCGTCCTCCTGATCCACAGGAAGCAAAGAGATCTCAGAGAAATCCTGGATCACATGAGAGCGAGGCCCGACTGCTACTGCATCAAATCAGAGCGCCAGGGTGTGACGGAGATCTTCTGCCAGAAGGGAAGCACAGGGTTAGATAGGTGATACAACATGTACATATGGAAGTGAGGGCTTTTGGTTTGTGTGGACTAGATCAACCAACAGTGTTAAACTTCATTATATTACCATAAAATGCATAAGGTCAAATAATTAAAGGAACGGACATGAACTGCTTTCTAGAATTAGTCAAACTGTTGTTGTTTTTCGTTGGTTGACAATTAAAAATGCTTTATTTATATGATGTGTATTACAATATTTGTATGTGTAACGGAGTTAAAAATGTGTAGACATAATTATTAGTTATAAATTACGATTTATAATAGGTTGTGAATTTTATTTTTATGAGATTGTTTCCTTTTGATATTTTTGAGTTATGTTTCTGGTGGGAACACTTTCCCGTTGCACATCTTTTCCCATTTCCTGTATGTCATTTCCGCTTTCCCCTCACATTGAAGTGATCACTGCTGAGGGTAAGCTGTGCTAGGAATTGTGTTATAGTTAATTACAATTTTGTGTGGTAAACCGGCTATTTAAATTTATGAAAGTGACATAAATGCCAGAAAAGACACCCAGATGCTTCGCTGTCGTTTCCTGATCGATAACAGGTCGCTTACGGTTGTGACCCGTTACATATGTTTACAGTATTCGTGCTCCAACATATCCAGAACTCTGCTGCCCGCCTCCTCACCCGCTCCCGAGACCACATCACTCCTGTCCTCCAGAACCTCCACTGGCTCCCCATCCGTCAAAGAATCAACTTCAAAGTCCTCCTCATTACTCACAAAGCCCTCAACAATCAGCCCCCCCCCCCTACCTCACAGACCTGCTGCACCACCACGCCCCTTCCCGCTGCCTCCGCTCATCAGACGCCAACCTCCTTTCCATCCCCACCCGCATCAATCACCGGACCTGGGGGGACAGTGCCTTCTTCGTCGATGCCCCCTCCCTCTGGAACTCACTCCCACAACCCATCAGAGACTGCACTGACCTCACCACCTTCAAAAAACTCACCTCTTCAATCTGGCTTTTAATGTGTGATTGTTTTTGTATTATTTGACTTTAACTTTAACTATATATTTATTTGTTGCTCCTTCCTTTTCTTTTCCCTTCACTATATCTGTAAAGCGTCTTTGAGCACCTGTAAAAGCGCTAACAAATTAAATCTATTATTATTATTATTATTATAAATGACATTCGATTTCGACATATTTAAAGCAGAAAAGAAAAGTATTATATTACAGATCTCTTATTATTTCTGTTGCCTCTCAGATGGCTTACAAAACCAATGTAACACATTATTTCAGGTGACACAAAACACGACTTTCTTTTGTGTGTTATATCAGCACATTCACAAAGGGCTTGCACCATCCCTTTTGCTCACAACAAAAGAAACAAAGAAAAACACCACTAGATGTAGATCACTTGGTAACCACTGGATGGCGCTCTCTGCTTTTTAAAACAATACAAGCTGAGGCTTTGAATTGGGTTTGATAGAAAATCCCGTAAAGGGAAATGTCAACCTTTTTAGGAACTTGAATATTCCTGCATTCAAAGACAGCTCAGTTAAAACCAGTAAACATATGTGTTGATGCAAACAGGAAATGAACAGCTTGCGTTCTGATTTATTCAAGATTTGTTTTGATGCACACTCCTTCTTGTGCATGATGTGATTTGTACTCTCAGTCCCCAATGTCAGTGTTTACAATCAAAAATAATCTTTCTCGGGAAAATTGCTCTGAGTCCCTACCCTTTCCTTTCTCTTTAGACACACATCAGCATTCTTGCACAAACTGGCCATAATGTCTTGGACTCAGAGTCTCAGCATTCACTAAATGAGGAGAATCACTGTTATCCTTTGGGCACAACTCCAGTTTCCTGATATCACCTCTAATGGCACTGCTGAGGCTCTTATAGCAGCTGGAAAGCCATTACATGGTTTAGAGACAATTTAGTGCAGCATTTAAATAAATAATATTGCTTATGAGTGGGTCTAGACTTGAAGTCTTTATTGTTACACAACAGCAGGATGAATGTAAAACTATGAAAAGTTAGAGAGAGCTTGACTGCAGTTAACGAGAGACGCAGGGGGAAAGTGGTGTAAGTGATCAGATGCTATACATTAGATATGGAGTTTATGCAGGCCTGCATGCCCAGGGATAAGAACTTTGTAAATCCATCTAGTTTAACTGTTCACTGTAAACATCTCTACAAAGCAAAACAGGTCATACGGGAACAAATTGATGAGTTGCATGAATACTTTATGACCCCATACATTTATCAATGTATACAGGAAAACATTGGATTGTTGTAAGTACTCTCCTTTACTTAAAGGGGACCTATCATGCAAAATGCACTTTTTGATGTCTTTTATATAAATATGTGTCCCCGGTGTGTCGGGGAACTCACGCAGCGTCAGAAAATAAAACCCTCTCTTTTCCTCCATACCCAAATCTCTAAAAACGGGGCTACAACGGAGCTGATCCAGTTTTACGTGCGATATGACGTAATATCGGAAATGTGGACCCACGGGCCTATCAGAAACGTTGCTATCAGAAACAATGCCCGACTGTTTTGGACGTAATATGGTCGGTGTTTACATTAGCATCGCTAACACTCAGAGCTAACCTGTAATGGAGAGCATGGCTGCGTCTCAGGTCGACTATTTTCATTTCCTCGGTCGTCGGTATCACCGAAAGTTGATTTGTCTGCGCCATCTTGAGTACCGTCCGATGGCTCCTATTTCTGCCAGAGGACCGAGGATTGAGGAGCGAGGAGCGATAATGGAGGAGCGATAATCGAGGAACCACCAGACCATCCTCCGATTAAATCCTCAGATACTCGCCCCGCCCCCTTACTGTGTATCGCTCACTGATTGGACGATGCAGTGCATGCACTGATCTCATGCTTCTTGACATGAGAGCAGTTTCCCAGCGGAGTGAAGAAAATACATGAAACTCACGAGAGTCACTCCTCAGTTTATACTGTGTTTTGTTTCAATTCATGTATAATTTAGTTACAAATATGTGATATATCTGAACAACAAAGTGGTCAAAAATAATTGTATTAATTTATTGGAAACATTTTCATGATCGCTTTTTTCGTTTATACATTTTAAGAATGGCGTTTATCTTTTTTGAGGATGAGTTCTTATTTGATTTGATTTATTTGGGTCTACAGATGATACACATGTATATGTCAGTACATGTGTACTAACAGAGGCGGGGGTGTGTGTGAAAACAATGGGGACAGAGCTGCTGTCAGACATCAGCTGTGCGGTGTCATCACAAACGGACGTCGCTTCATGTGACGCTCCGGAGGAAACGACGTCCCATTGCTCTTAAAACTAATTTCCCTGCTTCTCGTGGTTTCCTTGCGTCTCTCCATGCTTCCCTGGTGGGAGGGACTAGACGCAGTACTCGAGTTGAGGGGGGATGGCATCCCCCCTGAAATAAAAACGGTCAAAAATAATCCCCCTTCTAAAACTGCCATTCCCCCTTTCCATCCCTTATGTAATTTTATCAATTAACGTGGCACTTGTATTACTGCTATTTCAACATTAATTTTGCGCATTTTGAGTAAAATACTGTGGGCGAGGGAGCACGCACACATGCAATGACATTTTTACCAAGTCACTGACGCTATTCTATGCGAGTGCCCTAGAGGGCGCCAGAGCGCCGTGATGCGCCTGTTTGATCGATGCCAGAAGCGCAGGGAACGGTCATCACAATGGCCAAGCGACCAGGAGGACAACGCGATCTGAGGGACTTCATATTTAAAAATACTAAAAATAACATTTCAGGTAAGTCAAGAGTCAGTAATCTTAGTCATTACTCATTACTTTACTCACCAAAGGTGGAATCTATGGACATAAGCAGCAATAACAACTTAGTTTGGAGTTATACGTTTTTCTCTCGTGTTAGCTAGCTGGTAAGACTCAAAACTGTTGATGAAATGATACCACCAGCACCAGAAGAGCTGAAACCCCTCCTTCAAGCAGTGAACACTCTGGTCATCTCCACAGCTGAGTGTGAACGTGGGTTTAGTCAGATGAACATTTTAACCACAACTAGAAGCTCCCTAGAGGCTGTGGCGTTTTCCCCTGGAGGCCAAGGGAAGCCAGGCTTCCCCTGTTTTTTCGGAGTGTAGTTATAATTTTAATAAATAAATAAAAACAGTTCGTTTAGTTTCGGAAATTCTTTGTTGTGTGTTGCTGCCGGCCCGTCTCTCCCCCATTCTCATTGAGTATTTTACAAAGAGTGAAACAGCGCCCCTCTAGATGTTATGGTGAAACAGTAGATTGCACTCACTGTTGCGAGAGGAGGCCAGCCGAAATTGGCTTCCCTTGGTGAAAAAAAAATTGAGAGATTGACCAATCAGATGAGGCTCACGTGATGCCCCTGCCAACCTGTGATTAGTCAGGGCCATGCCAAGGGAAGCAAGAGGCGGCCGGCTTCCCTTGCCTCACCATCCAATCAAATCGCATCAATTTAGTGGTGCAGTGACGCCCTAAAACCCGGAAGTAAGCTGCGCTCGGGTTCCCTCGACATGGGATTTCTCCATAGGATTTTGGAAAATAGCTCGAAATAAGGTCAGTGGAAAACGAACCTGTTAGATAAATGCACGTTGTTTTCAGTCGGATAATATCCACATGTCTACCCTACTTTTATAATTTCGAATCATAAATCTAATCGATAGAAGATAGCTAGCGTCACTGCATCACTCTCACCGCCGTTAGAAAGTAGCAAGCAACTGAAGCAAGTGCAATTATGGAGGGTGAAGATTTGGAGTATTTACTCAAAAATAATTGTACTAAACTTCCACTACAGCAGCAACAACAAATACAATCTGATGACAGGCCGATGCCCAAACTGGAGCTGTGTACAGAGAGGAAAAAAGGAGCGAATCGGACGTAAAACGTTAAAGGGCTCCTGATTTAGTTTGTGAATGAATGCTTATTAGAGTTTGGGCTGGAGAGTGCGTGCGGACCTGTCGGTTAGATAACAGGCGTGTGTAAGTCCTGCATCGTATGATACAAATGTGTGTAAAATGATACCGGGTGCTGTAATCACTCATCTGGTTACGTTATTATATTGACCACCACACCCCCGACCCAAAATAAAGGACGTATTATTGGCTTCCCCTAATTTTTTTTCCCACGCCACGCTACTGCCTAGAGGTAAAAAGCATGTCAGCCTTGCTTTTCATCAAGTGTTGGCCCTCCACTGAACAAGTTCAGACCAGAGGTATGTCAAGACTTGGCTTCAAAGCCATTGCTTAGCTAACAATCCGAAAGCAAGAGCCAGAACAATTGAGACCAAAAAGCATGATTATGAAAATCTTTGGAAACTTCTATGAGATGGGGGAGAGTGGAGTAGGCAGCCATTGACAACATTGGTCCTATTTTGTATTATCTGTATAATCTTTTAATATATTTTCATATTTTGTAAACAATTTCAATTTGCACTTAATGCCCTGTTAAAAAAAGTAACATTGGGAATGTTAACATAAAATATTTGTATTTGAACTGCAATAAAATGATGACGGATCAATTTTTTTCTAATTTTTCTTCCTCACATTTTTCATGAAGAATTTACATAATGATTTAATTAATTACGATACAAATGTAACCCTTTAGATACCAGTTTTGATCGTATACCAGTAACTGCTTTTTTGAAAAAATACACTATAATTCAATATTCTAAAAAACTATTTTGACTTTATTATTAGTATAATCAGTTGATCCAT